CTTCTTCTTCTTCTTCTTCTTCTTCTTCTTCTTCTTCTTCTTCTTCTTCTTCTTCTTCTTCTTCTTCTTCTTCTTCTTCTTCTTCTTCTTCTTCTTCTTCTTCTTCTTCTTCTTCTTCTTCTTCTTCTTCTTCTTCTTCTTCTTCTTCTTCTTCTTCTTCTTCTTCTTCTTCTTCTTCTTCTTCTTCTTCTTCTTCTTCTTCTTCTTCTTCTTCTTCTTCTTCTTCTTCTTCTTCTTCTTCTACTTCTACTTCTTCTTTTTCCTATATTTTATATATTCACGTCACGAGCGAAATACCACAGTACCAAGAGAAGGATACTGACACTTGCATTCGCTTAGGCTGTTTGACACGTAATACTTACTGGCCTATTAGTTACACACACACACACACACACAGACACACACACACACACATATACATATATATGCATCGATTAGATATGTATTTATAGCTAAACCGTTGGTTTCTCCACAAACTTTTCTTTCTGGGCCATTATTATTTAGATTACGATCAAGCATTTAGTAATTTACGAAGCAATTTTTAAAGAAAAACGGTCTGAAATCATCACTATAAGAATTTTTATTTGACTAATTGTTAAATTATTGGCCATATGGATAAAAATGTGAAAGTTTTATGTAGTTAAATAATTATCATGAATAAGCTTGGATAAGTAAAGTTGAAAGTATTCATCGACATAATACGGATGGGATACATATTTCATTTTTAAAAGTATCACTATTCATTCCTATTATATATCAGTATTAATCTGTTATTTTCTATTATCATAAAGTTTTTTTTTTTTAATAATGAATTAAATTACCATGTATATATAATATTGTTATTTAATATTAAGTCAATGCATATAAATTTCAGATGTAAAATTTCTTTGATATTCGCAGAATTCTAACAATAATTGTCAAGCTACTGGCAAATGACAAAAACTTTTGACTGAAATTTATGATTTTTTCTTTTATTATTATGATGATAAATTCCCTTTATAATCCATAATCTTATCGAAATATGTAAAACTTGCTAAAATCTCAAAATCTAATACCATAAAGAATACAATACAATTATTTTTGTGTGAAAATTAAATGTTATTTCTACAATCTATGTGTGACTTATGTACACAAGCTTGCGAGATAATTACTATCTGCCAAGGTAAAATGCATCTTGGTAATGGCTCGATTAATATTGTAAATATAATAATATATGATCGGTGGATTTCATTAAAGTCTTACGTGTCAACAGAGAGTGAAAACCAAGTGATCAGATATTCGCAGAGCTTTTTACTGTGAAGCTTCCTTCAACTTTTATTATTATTTCGGCATCGTGGGAAACGAAATTTACACGAGTCAAAGCATTACACGAATTTATTTTTTTTAATGCTCAATTCGTTGTAGCTTAAAGATTTAGGTTTAAGAGTAGAAGAGCGCTAACACTATTTTGACAAACTAAAAGACTTTGAGTAATTACTACTAAATAGACGAAGATTGATGAAAATCAGTACTTTAACGTAATTGAATTATATGGATGCGGGGGGAGGGGGGGGAGGGGGGGTAAAGCTAATGTAGCAACCAAACCGCGATCGAGTTTCAAACGAATTGCTAAATGAATTAATGCTCGACTTGCTCAAGGTAAATTCGTTTCTCAATGCTTTTATCAAATAATCTTAAATAACGTACGGCTTATCACACGTTCGCTTAATTTATATTTCTGCACAGCATTTATATTTTCATTTAATTACATTCCAAGCTTTTAAAAGTTTGCTTTATTTAGATACGATCGTAAGCGTACGTTGGCTTATTTTGCTCTTTAATGAATTTCATTGAGTCCTACCATCATTTGCCTATCCACATCCTGACAATGACAACGATATCAAATTCAATTACGAAAAATGATTATATTATCTTTCCTCGTGTTTTTTTTAAACGTTCAACACATTGTTGTATTGTATGGCTGTAATGACGATGACGGACACGACGGTGTTACTTTATCCGAATCTGTTGGAGAATATTTAAGATATTCTTGTTAAACTTACTAATGGATGTCTATAAATTGATAAACAAAACTAATATTCTGTTTAGGTAAAATTTCACGTTATGCTGATTGGAAAAGGGCTTTGGATATTCTCAATTATGATATTATATTAATCTATTAGTTTAAAAAAAAAAAAAATTGTAGAGTCAAGTACAGAATTAAGCAAATACTTTTTATAAATAAGCAATCGATGTATTATTCAATAATGAGAAAATTAATGTGAAATAAAAAGTCATTAACGTCTTTATGTTTATATATATATATATATATATATATATATATATATAACAAGCGTAAAAATAGTCTGTTTGATTTTTACTTTGGGAGCAACTTTATATCATTCACACATGCATATCTAATTCATTTATTTTTAAGAATATTAAGTAATTGCTTGATGAGAAAGGAAGGTAAATATATTTTTTTTTATTTTACTATGAAAGGGGATCGATACCACACTAATTGATACGCATTAGCGACCGTCATAAAGTTGGAAAAGTAATTTATGAGAAATTTGCTTTAATGTTGCCACTAGAGCCCGTGATGATTAAGTGAATTAAGTGAAATTATTTTATCTCAAATCATATTGTATTATGAATCACTAAAAGTTGTTAATCTACAATGATATATAAAATTCTAATAATAAAAAGTTATTTTTATATGATAGTTAATTGAATATAGTTAAACATGATATACGGCCAGCACTTGAAAATATGTATAAGCTCACTATCACTCGTATTAATATTAAGATTAGCAAAAGAAAAGTTTTAATAAATACTCAAATATCAAATTAATTTATTACATTGCTAAGCATTTCATACGAATTGAACAATTTGTCGATGCAAATATTAATATAAATGTTGATTATAGAAACATTGTTAGAGTAGAATAATATTATTTCCTGATGAAGTGTTACTATACTTGACTTGCGCCAAATTTAGACGAAGGTCGAGTATGTCCTTGTAGTATGTCGGGAAAACTAAGAGAACAACAGTTGGTAGAACAATGGACTTAAATCAGACGCGCGAAATCAATTGTTCGCTGCAGGGGCGCAAGATGATAGGCGCAAACTGCTATTTTTAAATAGGGCAATAAATGATGGATTATCTCTTATGAGCCACGTGATTGAAAAAAAAAGAAAATAATATAATACTTTATCAACGACAGAGATTTTCGTACATAGGTAAACCCATTTATCAACATTATATGCATGTGTATATATATATATATATATATATACATATATATGCAGGCAAATATATCAACTCAAACATGACATCTCACTTCACTTCACATAATATAATGCTTCATTCTTACGTATTTATATGCTGTAAATATGCTTATCGTAGTTGAAGATTAACCACGATTTTTTATTGTATGATTGTGCTTGTGTGTAAAAGGGGCTGGATACGAGGTCGATAGGTTTTTAAGAAATTCGCTTTATCAATGAAATGACTTTATGCAAGAACGAATTTTATTATTAATGGAGGACAATTGTTTCAACGATCATTGAGATTTCTTTTTTAAATTAAAGAGTACAGAAATAAAGAAATTCAAGTATGTAAAGTATGTTGAGAGAAATTTTATTATTTACATAGAGATTCAAGTCTTTACGTTGAATTGGCTTCTTCGTATATTATGTTCTTTCTTTTTTTTTTACAAATTTTGTATCTACTCATTTAAGTGCTATTCAATTATTGTTAATGAACTTTTGATACATAAATTGATAATGAACGCTTAAAAACGACTTCATATTATCTACTTTAATGTTATCATTTAAATTTTTATTTCTCGTGCCACTCAATGAACATATTATTGGTTGAAATACGTATTAATTAATCAAATCTAAAAATCCAAGTCTTCCTAAATATGCTGCACAAATGTGTGAGTAATTCGTCTATTTTTCTAGATTTAAATGAAAATTGAATGGAAAGTTGAAGCAAATAGTACTTACGTATGTTACAGTATTACTGTAATAATTCTACTTGCAAATTTCATGATATTTGGAACCATTCGTCAAATTTACATGGTGAGCGATTTCATTTAAAAAAAAAAAAAAAAAAAAAAAAAAAAAAAAAAAAAAAAAACAGTTTAGCGTGTAAATGAACGAATGCTGAAATAATTAAAATTCTTTGCGAATTTGATTGTTTTACGTTAGAAACTTGGCCTTGAAACATTCTTATTCTTTTTTCGTCTTATTTCTTTTTAAAGCAATATTCCAATATTCTACTTTGTAGCAATTATGAAAGATAAAAAAAAAAAAAAAAAAAAAAAATCCACCAACATGAATAATAACTTAAAAAAGAGCTGACGACACGATGGCATACACGATGAATTTACTAACACATGTTCACCACAAGTTTGTTAATTAAACGTAAGCTTTGGCACACAAATGAAAGCAATAATTTTCTTTCGCAATCGAATGTCTCGTCAACGCTCGAGTCGCGATTCAGTTCAGAAAAAAAAGAAAAAAATTCTCACTCCGAATTGGTATGATCGCTCAATTGCCAGATAATCGAGACTCGTCTACGTTGGGTCACACATATGCGGTGGGTGGATAATCCGAAACGTAAATGATCGTTTTTGAAAGGGGTTCGAGTGCGCTTACCATGTAAATTTGCCGAGGTTAAGGTATTTTGTCGGATGCATAGTGCACTGGGGCCCCAAGCCTCGCGACGCGCAATCGCGATAAATCGCTTAATGTTTCGTGAAACATCATTAACATCATTCGACGACTTGGGAAAGTTTGCGCGTAGTCGGCCGATTGGCCGTAAATGTCCTAAGTCGCCGTGTGCGTGTCGTCCGAGTTTGCTCGTTAGGTAGAACGAAAGCGCGGGTCGCGGGTAGGGGGTCATCGGTCGGCCAGCTTCCTCGGTGAAGGAAGCTCGTGTCCCGCTCGCTCAAGCACGAATCGTTCCACCCGGAGCCCGGCTCAGCTCATTCGCCTTCTCTTGTCCCGCAGCCACGGGTCAGCGTCGCAGGAGCGAGGGCTCGCCCCAGCGTGGCCCCCGCGGTCACCGTCGCGTCTCTCTCGGCGGGCCCGAGCCCGGGGACGAGCGCCCGGTCCGCTGCCGTAACGGCAAGTGCCCCAACAGTGCGAGTCCCGCGGAGGCGCGACGCAGCTACAAGAGCTGCCACAATTGCAGCAGCCTCTACTGCTCGCGGGAGTGCCGCAGGGCCCACTGGCAGCGCCACCGCAAGACCTGCCTCTACTCCCGGGCGAGCGGCCTCTGCGTCCAGGTCCTCTCGAGCGTGAAGCGCGACCCCGCTAGCCTCGGGCACGTTTCGGCGCTGGCGCGGCGGGGCTTCGCCTCCCAGGGCCGTGGCGCGGTGCGCTGCTTCTTCGCCAGTCCAGAACTTGCCGAGAGCTTCGTCGCCGGGGGCCTGCAAGAGCTTGGCGAGCCGGCCTACGTGCGCTGGTCGGACATCCTGCCGAGCGAGATGGGCGCCGAGCTTTACGCGGAGGCTGTGCGACTCTGCGAGTCTTACAATCCGGAGACGAGGCTCGTCGTCTATGTCTCGGTGTGCGTAGTGCGGGAGGTGCCGAGCGCCGGGGGCGGCCCAGTCATGTGGGAGCGCCAGCCGGTCTCGCGGTGCGCCAAGCTGAAGCTCGAGGGCTCGAGGAGGACTGCCGGGCAGACGTTGTTGCCGCCGCTGCCGCCACCACCGCCGTTGCCACTGCTGCCGCCTCCGTTGCAGTCGCCGTCGCAGTCGAAGTCGCAGCAGGTCAAGGGCTCGTTCGAGAGGGAATCGGAGCCGGAAGCCGAGGGGGCGCGAACGGAGCCGAGATCGGATGAGGACGGGCCCCGCATTAGTAGGGAGATGGAGAGCCCGGAGACCCTGGTGCTGACGTCGAGTCCACCGGAGGTGGGGCTCACGAGCCCGAGGCATCATCGCGTGATCGGATTCGAGAATATACAGCGGGAGTTGCGACACCGCGGTGTCTCGCTCAGGCGCCACTTCCCCCAGGTCTACGGCAAGCTGTGCGCCTACGTGGACGGCGGTGTCGAGAGATTCGCGCCTGTGACCATCTACCCGAGGGACCAGGCCAGCGGCAGGAGCTTCATGTGCATCATCATGCTGGACGCGGAGCCGGAACGGCTTCGACTGCTACCTACGGACTCCTCGAGGCTCCGGACCGTTGACGTGGGCCTCGAGGTCCCGGCCGAATGAAAGAATCTGGTAAAAGAGTCGCTACAGGCGAGTGTTATCTTTGTCCTTTTCCTCCACTCCAGCACTCGTCCGCGATTTTCCGACTCTTGCTGTCTCGCTTCTCTTTGGTCGTGACCCCATTCATGGCCATTGGCTTGTAGCGACAAGTTTTTGGATAAATGACACCAATGCGCTCAATATTTGGCAAAAGGGGTGTTCGTTCGCTTCCTGTGCTTTTCTCGTTTTGCGTTCAGTGCGTCTCGATGTATTCTGCGCCCCGAACGCAGAGATCGATGATCGCTTGGAGAGACGAAGCCTATTCCTTCCCCTCCCCCCCCCCCTCTCTCGTTCTTCTTTTTTTTCATTTTTAATGAAATCTTCTTGCATGTAATATCTCTATTTATATGTATGTGCCGGTTTTGATGATGAGAAGAAAACATGATCGCGGCGCCATTTAACGGCGATGACTGTAATTTTCACAATTTCTCAGCTCTTACAATTACGATGAGAGTGAAGTTCGCTTGAATAACTTGATAATACGATTGAATTGCCACTGCGATAAAGGATAGTCGCTCCTTTTTTCCGACGTACATAAAAACTAAGGCATAATGTGAATTTATGTTAATGATAAATAACAATTTTACTATGTAGTATATTTTGTAAAAGTCGTAATGAGCTGATTAGCTTTATCGTGACACTGAGATGATAGAAAACTTTGGTTGATGCCAATTTAATTAAAGAAAACGTGAAGATACATTCGGATATAATGTGACTTTTGACTTTATTTGCATAATAACGTTGAAGCAGTTTTGAATTCGATCGATTGCTTTGCCGATCACTTTGGTCGAAATGAGGATATTCAGAAAATTTAAAAGTTTTTCAGAGAGATCATGTTCATATAGCCATAACAGATACATTTAATTTGTCGGTTGCATTTCAATTGAAATATGCCTTAAAATATATCGATATTAAAAAAAAAAAAAAAAAAAAAAAAAAAAAAAAAAGAATTTCTTACCAGAGAGATTTTTTTTAAAGCATTATGGTTGTGTTAAAGGAATTTGTCGGCCAAAGTTTATGTTGTACTTTCATTGTTGAATAATTACAAACTTAAGAAACAAGAATCATTTTAAAGAAAGATTAGTTAGTTTTTTGCAAAAAAAAAAAAAAAAAAAAAAAAAAGGGAAGCATTTAGAAGTAGTTTAAAATTAATAATTTGTCGTGCGCTGGAATTCCTTTTTGATATAAATGTCCCACGAACAAATATCGTGCACAATCATTTTATTGTAACGACTTTTTTACCAGAATGCTTTTACCGACCAAGATGAAGAAGAAGAAGAAGAAGAAGAAGAAGAAGAAGAAGAAGAAAAAGAAGAAGAAGAAGAAGAAGAAGAAGAAGAGGTAGAAGAAGAAGAAGATGATGATAATGATGAAACAATATAGAGATGCGAAGAAATGTGTGGCATAACGATAGTATTTTTTCCTTTTATAAAAACTTTATTATTAAGATGCTTAATCGGTAAAGTTTGTGAAATTTTTTACTTATTAAAATAAAGCGATAAATTACATACAATTATAAGCCGCTAACTGAATTATCATGAATGGGGATAATTGTTTAAACATTTTTGTAGATAGATTAAAATGAAAAGAATGCGAGAACGAGAATAATGAAACTCGTCGAATGTTTATCTATGCTTTCGACTCTTCGCAATGACTAGAATTTCAATGGTTTTGAGATGTGAAATTTTGAAATATTTGGTCGTCGTTTATGCGAATGAATGATGAGTAAGGAAGCTAAGGGGAGGTGATTTTGTTTGTCTTTCATTTAAATATCTACTTTAATATAATTAATTATGCTTATTGCAATCAAAAATCAAATATTTAATGAAAAATTATTGCATATGTTGCTTCCTATCTTTCTTATAATCAGTCGTTCATATAATACACAAAATGCTAAAATTTCGTGCTGGTAGCGGCTAAACATTGAAATGAAACATAGAATATACTAATATAAAATCAGACTACTATAGATTGTCATAATTATCTATCGTTTGTATTAAATTTTGAAAATTCTATTAAGTATTGTACAGCCATAATTATTAATAGATTTTGGAATATACCATTCAATAAATGAAAAGCGGTAAATTATAAAGAATTATGCTCTTATAGGATATTTATATATTCCTCTGCGATCAATAAATATAAATTATAATGTTACTAATCGAACAAAAATTTAATCTGGTATTATGAAAATTCCTCGTTTCGAGCTTTTTTTTTTTTCTATTATTTGTGCTTACATATGTATATAAAGAAAATTTTTCGCGCGAGAGTGTAGCTTCGGTGTTGTATATTTAATGCTTTAATGCTTTATTACGTTTTGTGAGGTGATAAATATGCTTCGTTATTATATATATATATATATATATATATATATATATATCGCTAAAAGGAAATTATATTGATAATTTTCGTTAATAGAAAGATAAATTGAAAGTTTATTCATAGTCAAAAATAAAATAATCGGTTTAAATAAACAATTTAATTTCTACATTAATTAACGGAAATATACAATTAAGATGTATAGCATTGTCAAGTTCTTGCAAGTTTACAATTATAAAATTTTGAAAAGTCCGTTTATTTCTAAATTGTAATATTGGCTCACTATAAATATTTTCTATACGATAATACATAAAGGTTCTTTTGCAATATTGACGAAACAAAGTAAGCATAATTGTTACTAACCTGAAGTTAAAGCACATTTAATATTTTTAATACTTATTGTTACATAATAATTGTTTATTTTTATTTTTTATCATCTCAGATATAAAGAACAAAGCTTTATTCGTCTAAATATAATTCATTTGAATCGCATGTTTTTCATCGGGCGTGTTAAGCGATTTCCTGTGAGTGAAAAACTGGGATAGAAAATTTCTCCTAAAGTACCGATGTGTATTAATGCGACGTGTATTGTTTATAAAATTCTTTTGCCCCATTCGATTTGCACTATCCTCGAAGTTTGCATATATAAATTAATAAAGTTAATTATCAGTTTTTTGCTTTACTGCGTGTGTATAAATAGTCATCGGACCGATGCGAAAGCCCTAAAAGAATTTCTCCTCTATTGTTTTAAATGTTTTAACGAAGAATGATTGAATACAGTAATGATAAAAACATCTTGAATAATTGATAAATCGATGGAAATGGTGAAAATTCAAGCGCTTCCCACCGTAGATACGCGTCCAACTAGACGATCCCGGAAAATAAAATCTCGTATCGAATTACCGTGTTCAATGGTTTCTTCAAGGGAGCCACTTTTTATTGTACTTGAATTACTTTGTATATTCTTGATCTTGACACGTAATATAAAATCAAAATAAATTATTCATATTCAAACGTATTTATCAAAAGAATAAGCAAAAAAAAAAATTAATAAATAAATAAATAAATAAATAGATAAATAAAAACAAAGGATGTTAATATATAGCAATTACATACTCATAGCATTGAAATATTAATACAATATCATGTAATTGATAAAGAGAAACAAATTATAAAACTATTTTTACGAAGTATAAACAGCAAAATTAGTATTTACGAATGTATATTTTAACATGAAATCAATCGCTAATTACAATTTTCCTAATATCTTCAAGTAGATAATACACCCACATACACAAGCAGACACAAAAACGTATTTATATAAGTTGAATTTATGTAGAATATAGTTATTAATTCGATAGAACAATAGGATAAATGAATTATACGTGTCTTTATTTATTAAACTTATATTTTTAAGTGGCTGCAAAAATATTTCAATTTAAACAATGTTCTAAAGAATATTCTAAATATTAGATCGAACGGTGTTTAATAATATAACAATAAAAATTCAATGAACAAGCATTGTAAAAGTCATAAAAATCGTATATAAATTGAAAAATCATATATCAAAGAAGTTACGAAATATGCAAAGTACAATCTAATTATTAAGATTCAATTACAATAATGGTTCCCTTGACGTATGCGCTCACAGTGCCAAACAGTCTTAATGGTAAAAAGAAAATCATGCCAAATATAGATGAAAAATTGCCTTTAGACGTCCATATACATCTTCACAAATATCTATCAAATAATTCATGTATGAATTTTCTCCCTCTTATCATTAAAGTACTAAGCTCTTTCACTAAAATACCACAGCCTTTTAATAAACACTAACAAATTTTTGAAAATTTGTATAATTATACGTATGACATTAATATGACGATTATCGAATGAAAGAAATGTTTTTATTTTTTCTTTTTTTATTTCTTTTCTTTTTTTTTTTTTTTTTTTTTTTTTTGAAACGAAAAAATTACAGGCATACAGTGGCTTCTCGTATATAGGCAATGATTTTATTATTGCAAAAAGTTCATTGATTACGGTGGTCGACGAGTATATAACCGAAATAACCATGGAACATTAATTTGGAAAATGGAAGAGTGAACAAGCAAACGCTAGAAATGTAAGATACGAGTGTTTGAAATAATTTCAGTGCCAATTCACTAGCGTATAAATTCATTGACTCAAGAAAATAATTTTTAAATTGAAAGCGTATTATTTTAAACAAAATGTAAAAATTATTCTTCTAAGGCATCGATCGATATGACATCGACGGGAGCTTGAGTGAGACGTCGGCAGGGGGGAGCAGG